TGGTTTTTGAAGGATATAAATAGGTTTATTATGAGAAACATATCATGGTTACTGTATGCTACTGTCACAGATTTTGTAATGGTTGAATATTTATAGATGTTTAAGGGACATTTCCAAAGATTTGTGTTCGGTTATCTGAACTCAGTAGCTTATTGAATAGGACGGTGTTTGAAGTTGATGGATATTGAGTTCGATATTCAGTGTGAATATCAAGAAACCTATGAGTTCCAAATAGGAGAATACGTGCTTCTTGCCCACATCACCCGCGAGCCACTACGTCGATGAAACCAATTATTTATTGAACAAATAGGATGTTTATATCATTAGTCGAAAGAAATTGAATTATCTCGTTGTAGTATAGAATGTAATCAGTATTTGTTACCAAATATGCATGTTGTATAGATGTCCACGAAATAGCCATTTTATCATATGTTTTGAAGATTCAATGTGTTGTGTCTATCAGAGGAGTCCAAAACTCACGTTTCATCCTATTTGAGAGACGTCAGTTTGATGTACTTATAACCTATTGTTGATATACATAATGAGACTCGAGTTCAGCATATTTCATTTGGAATGTCAATGCATTAAGCACAGAGCTAGTGAGTTCAGCAAACAATTATTTTGTTCACCAATTATTTTTATAATTATTATAATCTGCGATAGGAAAATGAAACCTCTTAATATTTATATTTTTATAGTATGGGGGATTTGTGTAGACTGTGGGATTATTTTAGTATGATATTCTCATAGAAGAAGATTAAAGTGTTCAAGACAGCACTCAAAAAATTTACAAACGCTTATAAAATCTACTGGAAATAAAGGCAATCATAGTTGAGAGAATCTGCGAGATTAAAAAACCAATAAACAAGACAAATATTAAAGTTTTAAAGCATGAGTCAATTGAAGCTAGACCACCATGGAAAACCTGGAAACACTGGACGGCCGTTTCGTCCTATTATGGGACTCCTCAGCAGTGCGCATCCACGAACCCGCTCGCGCGAGATTCGAATCCAGGACCTACCAGTTTCGAGCCGAAGCCCTTAACCGATAGACCACTGAGCTGGCATCCTGGGTTCGAATCTCGCGCGAGCGGGTTCGTGGATGCGCACTGCTGAGGAGTCCCATAATAGGACGAAACGGCCGTCCAGTGTTTCCAGGTTTTCCATGGTGGTCTAGCTTCAATTGACTCATGCTTTAAAACTATGAAAAATACTAAATCTCCACAAAACCCCCTCTGATAATTAAATATTAAAGTGTTAGAATAATGTCAATGGGTTATGGTAAAAGAGGGACTTCGTAATTACAGTCAAGGAATTGGGAGTGATATATTTAATAGAAACTGAACTCTATAGAAACATAACACACATATACATATTAAGTTACACTAGCATGTGGATTGAGTATGCTCAATTGAGGACAAATATAAATATAAGTAGTATGATGAACATGGTAGTATGAGAACAAAGAAAAATGATCTAAATACGTTTATTTAGTTAAAGTATGTTGCAATTGAACTTAGTGTTAAGTTGTGGAAACAATGCTGACATTAACTTACCATATTAGCAGACCTGATACGATACTTTACTTTGATGTTCAAGACATTTTAGGGTGAGTTCGTTCAGTCAAATAAACTGATATGTCAGCCTCATAAACTAGTGTAGTGAACAAAAACTTTCTGGAGAATACCAATTTATTGGTTAGTGCAAAACTACAGAGTGGTTTCGTAAAATATGAAAACTATGGATTAAATACATAGTTTGCACATCTTTCTTTAGTTACTCTTTACATGATTCATTGCAATTACTCTCTGTTTCCTTCAAACGAATCTTCGCAATCTTCTGATGGTATGAGTTTCATTTCCGATTACTGCTACGTACTACTTATATCTGTTTACATAAGTACCATACACCACGCCCGTACCTCCTTTAAACGAAAGTCACTCTTGTGGTCGTTCTGCTCGCCATATCACTTCCTTCTTTTCCGCAGTCTGTGCCACGCTATCCATCAGAATGTCAAGTTCGCCGGCGCGCTGACCCTAGCAACCCGTCGAGCCTTCTAAATCCGACGTCCACCCAGCGAAAGGAAGCACTCTTCCTTCCCTCCACCGACAACCAACGCCTCCCTGCCAGAACATTCCACTAGTTACACCTTCCTGCACAAGTCCGCTTAGACTAGCGACTCTTTTCCACAGAACTTCACCCCCTCTACTTTTCATTCGGCAGTTACACAGGAAGTAGTGAACGAACACTCAGGTGGGGAGGACCAACTTATGGTTTAATATGCAATCATAGGATGGTTTGACAAAGTGTGAAAGTAATACATCTGATACATTATTTGCACATCATCTCTGAACTGTCTCTTACGAGCTTCATTTTTCCTTCATTCCTGTTGTTATCTTGATTGCATTTAGTTTCCTTCTCTTCACTTAAGTCTTCTCAACCTTCTGCTTGCAGTCATATCACTTTCGACTGGTGTTACATACTACTTATGTTTATCAATACACGTAATAAACATCACAATACTTTTTGGGTGGCATACTTCTGAATGTCGTGATGCGTATTTATCAAGTGAGTTTATGTATTAGCACAAAGTTTTCTGGTAATGCTGTCAGTCTCCTCAGTGTAAATCACACTGTAACTAACCCAATGAATCACGAATACAGAAGGACCAATAGATAGAACGGCAGATGGTTGATAAGATTTGGTTACGGTGTGCAGGATACATGTTTATTGTTATCAGACGATATAAATTAGAAAAAAAATATTCATGAATCCTAACTTACTAAAACTCCACAAACGTAAACAAACATACACATATTCACATTGTGAACACATTTAATGTCTTCTTACTTATCATCTTACTACAAACAAAATAAATCTTTGAATAAAATTGAACAATCTTTTAGTGTAGTATGGATTGTAAAATGTATTTAGCTTTGGATTTAAGTATTTCACGACAGAAGCTCTTACCAGTTTGCCGAGTGGAATTATTTAAACTTGATGACTTTCTTTTGGATTTAGCTGTTACAGTTTAGCCGGATTATGGTATTGACAGTTAACCCTAGTATGCTCATTAATCCTCTTAAAACTCTAAATCCTCTATAAATTTATTAAAGTTTCTTGAAAAGTTTTTCACAAAGCTGAATGTTGATTGGCTATTTTCTGATAGGGTGATTTCAAGATCATATGTATATTAAAGAAGTCATTTTGCATTTATCGAGCCCTGAATTCGCGTTAGAAACTACGATTAAGTAGTGTTAATATATACAATAACACAAATTACTATGTTACAATACGAAAGTTATATTAAATAATAATACAATCTAAGTTGTAATTACTCATGTGGTATTTGATCACCACTCATTTCGAAGCCCTAACAATAACCAACCGAACAATTTGATTCGCGTCTTTGTAATCTACTGGTTAAAAGAATTGACGACTACTTCGTAAGCGATTTTGAACTCCAAGTTTGTTTTGATCGAATTGTTGGTATCGTTCACAAGGTGTTCAAATATTGGACTTTTTATAAAACTAGTAATAATTCTTTACAATTATTCCGCAAGATGTTGAACCATGTTAGATAGTCTTCAAGAGTCACCACCATACACGTCATACTTTTTGTTAATCTTCGGACCATAACCAACTTCACTCAGTCCCCATGTACTTTCTTATTACTATCGTTATTCGCGTATTACTCAAACCTCTTTCAATAGTTTGGGAAATGTAATTATTATATCGATCAGTCTATGCCTTAATCTACACTTTCATAATTCACTGGACCTACGATCTAACACCTTAAAATTTACTTTCTCACTGGCTACATATGAGGACGGTTTAACAGAAACTGTGAACCACCCGGAGAATTTATTGAAGTTATGAATTGATTCATATAGGAAACTGTCAGCGATTAGAATTTTGAATCGCGTTAACTGACAAATCTGTTACTCTGTTATATTTCGAACCTAGATTCTTAGTATGTTGCGTATAACTTGAGCAATAGAACAATAGAACCTTACCCAGTCGCAAATGAGAAGACAGAAGACAAGTGGAAGGAATGTTATTCCAAACAGTGTCAATTATGATACAAAACTGTGACGTATTTATAATTTTTAGTAAAAACGAAATCATCATTGTAGTTATCCAATCCGCACACAGGGGGTTATTAGCATTTGTCCAATAGGGAAACTACATGTAGTGATTCTGGAATATTTTTCCGAAAGCTCATTGAATCGGATATGTCCGGCTCTTTCTGAGCTTCTTAGAGTTTCCTCAAGTTCACCCGTGGACCGTCTTCACAGACTCGTTGACAAAAAAAACAGTTCAGAGGTGAAAATCTTGTACACTATTGAATAAGTAAATTGTTTAATAATCCCTTTAATCTATAACCCAAATAGCCATCGGCTAATCTAATCATTCTCTTGGAAATAAAATACCAAAGTTGTGAGCAACACTTTCAATGTTCAACAAATATGTCGTATGCAGTACTTTCGGCAATGTTTTCATTCATTTAGTGAGTGACTGTTGTATTATAGTATCAACTACATTAAACATTGTTGTCCAAACCCTAAATTTCATGAAATTTGTGTTTTCCCTCCAAAATATTGAACTGTAATACACTAAACATGTACATATCAAACAGTTACTGCTATTTTTAGGCGATTGAATTGAAAACTTCACTCTAAAATGCAATATTTATCCATTAAACAATCAGGAAGATACCCGAATGTGTTGCCCACAACATCATAATCGAGCACTTAAAACGTTGTGCGTAATCTCATACAGAATATAGTGGAATAACAATGAAGTTGGAATAACTCTCATTAAAAACGACTGCTTAACATGACACTTACTGCTTAGAACAATTTCAGGAAGAAAATATCAAAACTATAGTAATAAAAAGCTGGGAAAAACTTTTATTAAAAATAAGAAACAATAAGAAGTCAAATAGAAACAATTAAATCTCCTTTTTTAAAATGAAAATTGAAAGACAAATTACTTCAATTATGACGAATTAACTTTTAATAATTTGAAGAAAGCATGATCATTTGGTTCACGTCCAAGAAAATCTTTCAACATATCTGTAGCATCTTTAGAACCACCAGGACGAAGAATTTTTTCACGATAATCTCTTCCAACTGATTTACTAAGGCAACCACCATCCATAGCACATTGAAAACGTGATTCAAATATATCAATGCTGTATACTCTACTCCACTTTAGGTAAAAAGAAAAGGTTAGAATAAATCGGATGTACAGATAATCTTTAGGAAATCAGTATTTATAAGCAAAGACGGATAGTGGCTAGCAGTGGAATCCAGGACGCGCGTTTCGTCCTATTTGGGACTCGTCAGCTGGATGTACCTGCATCTCAGAGTTGATGTTCATTCAAACAAACAATACTAAATGAATTTAATCAGTATTTATATTTCACTTATATTCGTCCTCTCTTAATTGGCCAGAACAGTCAACACCTCAAGTTTGTTCGACTACATACTACATACAGAGAGGGAGAGAGTATATCGGTTGTGTTTTCTCCGTATTGGAGTTTGGTGAGAAAAGGCCATACATTGGACCTTAAGAGTCAGTATATATGAATTGGCTGAAGAGTGGATACCAGTGTTATTTATTGATGCAAGCATAACCAGAGAACAAGTTCACATCAAACACATACAATTATTTTGAAAATATTTTACCCATAAATAGTTGATAAGAGAAAATAACTCATAGAGACTTTGAAATCAATATAGACCAGTAACTGAACCCTATATATACGAGTGTAATACATTCATTATTTTTTGCACATTGACATAAACAATTAAGACAAGTCTCGTATGATATTTGTTAGCTTAATTAATTACCAATAGTAAATAGTGAATATATCAGTTATCCACCAACAAATTATTTTGTGTGTGTTCAGTTTAAGTGTTTTTACTAATTCTCTAGTGAAGTTTGATAACTTCAATCAATATCCAACAGTGACTAGTGGAGTTCAACCAAGTCTGTTGTAGAGATATCAACTCACTGAAGACAATAGGTGAATGGTTGCTCAAACATCGTGGATTGGTTGAAGTTAGACATTAACACCGTTGGATGCCGGCCAGCTCAGTGGTCTATCGGTAAAGTGCTCTGGCGCGAGACTGGTAGGTCCTGGGTTCGAATCTCGTGAGTGCGAGATCGTAGATGCGCACCCAGTCCCATAATAGAACGAAACGGCCGTCCAGTGCTTCCAGGTTTTCCATGGTGGTCTAGGTTAATTGACTCATGATTTCAACTATGAAAATACTGAAATATCCACAAAAACAATGTATCTCACTGGACCAACAATCACAAACAGAAAATAATGCATAAAAGATTATACTTATTAACTTACTAAATAACTATAAAAACATCCATCATATCCACAAGTTAAATGAAGAAATGATGCAGGCCAAAAAGTATCTGGTATCGGTTCAATACCCAAACATTTTTTACTTAAATTCGTAAAAGTAATCAGTGGATCATCCTGTGTTGAAAAAAGTGAAGCACAAATAAAGTTATATGAACACGATAATAATAATAAATAATGATAATGATGGTCATTTCCAGGCAGAACCAACACACATCAAATAAATAAAAGGATTCCGTTTAAGACATAGTGGATTTGGCTGACCAAACATTCCAACAAGTGATTAGTGTATCCGGGGAGAAGCCGAAAAAGTGACAAAATAACAAATGTTAAGAACCTATTATTTTCTTTACCAAAAAAACATCAAACTCACTTCCCAGTTCGTTGTATGAATGGCTTGATCGAATGAGGCTAAAAGTATTTGTCGAGAATAAAATAGACCAGCATTTGCTATACGTGAATTAATTAGATTAGCTAATAAATCTTTTGGAATCGGATCATCATTTGTATCAAAAAGAGCCTTCAGTCCATCAACATTCCATACCCAATTTTCTAGCATTTGTGATGGACACTCGACAAAATCTGTTTCTACAGCTGTACCACTTCAGAGAAAAAAAAACAAGTAAATAGGCATAAATGTTATCAATATAATAGATGGATAGCGAAAAGCAGTGAAATCTTAGATGCCAGTTTCATCCTCCTATTCAAAACTTGTCATAGCTCAATCTACATTCATTAGTGTATTGATGATCACATTGGGGCACACACCCAGTATGTTCTGCTCAAAACGCCAAAATTGTTATTTGATGGGCTAGTGGGTTTGCATAACCATTAATGGTAAAGGTTTAGAATTATCCCGTTGTTGGTATTCACTACTGTTAACAACAACGTATCTAGTCCATAAGACTTATGACAAAGTGGTTATATCGGGATAATCTGCACACGATATACATATGTTAACAACGACTGATCAAAATTCAGTCAACAATATCAACAATGGGATAACTCAAATCTTTATTCATTATGATGTAAATGTTATCAATGCTTTGCCTCTAGTTCGAAATTCAATATTCAAGTGGTATACACCTTCATACAATCTGATGCCTAATTAAAATTTAAGATCATTATTGATTTATATTATACAGAGAAACTCTATCACCATCGACCTCAAGGTAACCTCGTCTATGAATAGAACCATTTTATGAGCCTAAATGAACTTAGAACAATGTTATGATCTGTCAGTTTGATCCATTTACAAATTCATAAGCTATATGACACTTATCGAGACTACTTGTGCGAAAATAAGAAGGCCAATCATGTCGAAGAAGCTTTAATACCAAGAACCAAATAATTATGTACATAAGTTATGTCTATATGCAAGAATTAGTGGACTAATCTAAACGAAGATAGGTAGTCGGTTATTTTTGGTAGGCAGAATAACTCATTTACTCATAATAGTGTACCTTTGGATGCAAGTCCACAAGTCCATAAACTTGTAAAATAAAGCTAAAGAAGAGCAAAGTGTGATAAATGATCACATCAACTCCATCTCTTCTCATTAACAGGTAGGGGCGGCCAAACCAAAACGTGACATCAGTGTTTGAAGTCACTAACTTCTGGTCTTAGCCATGTTGGTAGATTTAGGTTACTTTGTTGGGGTCCGCGCGACTATCGTAACCAATGGTTAAAGACTCTGGGTGACATGTTTCGGAATCGATCACAATGGTGTCGGTATATATACTCTTTTTCTAACCTTAAGCCGTGAGATTAAAATTGCTGCATACTTTTATTTCTAGGAACTAATTCTTTCGTCCTATATTATATCCTTATACACAATCTTTGTTTTATATATTACAACCATTGGAGTAACCGCTTCTATGAATTCGGTGTTCATCTTGTTGTGATAATGAGGTGTGGCAACTTGGACCGATGCATATATGTACCTGGTCCTACGTTGTAGCTGACTGATTGACTTCTCATTGCTATACACCTGAAGGAGACTAACTGCTTTAAATGAAGAACAATTTTATGATACTGAAAAGTTTCTAGAAAAACACTAGAGTTAATTACAGTAACTTTACTATGTTAAGTGGTTTTCCCCCACGATAGATGAAGCAAACCCTTAAAAGTCCTTGATCCGACTTCGTAATTAGTTGTAGGTGAATAGTGAGAATGATGCGAGCGGTTGTTTTATACTTCCCAATGTTTTGAACAGTCCTCTAATATGCTGGAGCATAAGGTAAAGAGCTGTAAAGACAAAATGACAAGGTTTCGGAATAAAAAGTCACAAAATTAAATGTTATTAGTACTTTACAGACTCCCAATTAAGAGAGACAGTATCCCATAAAATGTAGCTTCAGTATTTTGTCATTCCTTCTTCATTTCACTATTAATAGAATCAACATTAATACAACTTTTAAAACATTGTGTAGAAATTGTCATCGACGAATTCTTAGGTTTATGGAAGCCTTGGCTACTCGCTAATTCAAACTCCCTTTATTCTTACCAAGGTAACTTGTCATAACCCTGAATCTTCCCTGATAATCAATCTTTGATATTATATGGGATAGGATGGTGGTATGACAAGTTTCTATTCTTCCCATATGGTGTTAATTTTGTTTCCTTTATTTACACTTATCAATTGATGTCTATTGGTGATTCTATTCTATCGATCACTATTAGTTTTCATGTACAAATGCGTTAACAAGTATATGTGTGACCAGATTGTTTGAAATGCATAACACAAATGCATCACATTTTTCAGATCAAATCCAACTGTTGATTGTTTTACATAAATTTACAAACAGGATTAATTTCTCTAAACACATAACTAATTTTATATTGGAGGATAATTTCGTAAAGAAACATTATCCTGATAAGTACGGAATCACAAAATGAAGTGCAGTAGCAAAGGAATACATCCGACTAACACAATGAATCACTCTACCTGATGTCAATATTTACGACTTAATTCGACTAATTCAGTAGGTACATATTAGTTTGGGAAGCTTCGAATAACACTCTATGTGTAACGGTCATAGATTCTAAGCTCAATTGTCCAAATCGAATAAATGAAGAGTGATTCGAACCAAGGACTTAGTGGCTGAAAGTCAAGTGTTTTAATTACTGAGACACCATTCCCCCTGATGGCAAAAACTGTAAGCCAGGAATAAATGAATTTCACGTACATTTAACCAAAATTTATTCTTAATTTCAATCACTAGAAATATTAACTTACCTAAATAAAGCTGTTTCAGTATGTGAACATACATGGTGCATCAGATGACCAAATTCATGGAAGAAAGTCACGACTTCATGATGAAATAGAAAGCATTGGCCAGTATTTTTATCTGGTGAAGTGAAATTAGTAACCAATGCTGCTATATCCAATTGACGTTCAGAGGCTAATGATGATGGGGAATGACCACGTTCATTCACCGTAGTATTATTGGAGTCCATTGATCTACGGCATCCTGGTTGTAAACCGAATACAGCTGCATGTCCATATTTACCTTCACGTGGATGCAGGTCAAGATAGAAATAACCTAACAAACTATTGGATTCAGAATCACTCACTGAATACTACAACGAAAAATTATACAGACAAAGAGAGAAAAAGATTCACACTCAATGATAGGATTGAATGATGTTTAAGTTTTTAATAAAACTTACATCAAGGACTGACTTTAATTAAACAACTGTCGAAGACTTAAAAGCACTAAATAGCTATTTCATCCCAGTAAGGGAATCGTCAATAGTATGCATCTACGACACCATTGGAGATTGAACCTAGGATTTCCAGGTATAGTGGTGGGCAATTAACATTTAGACCACGGAGTTCGCATTTAACAGTTTACATTTCTAACTCCAACTAATCTGTTATATTGAGCAACCATTATCAATGGTGGGCGACTGCCTAACTCCTGACACCATTAGACTCCACTGGTCACGGCTCATCATTAGAACTAAGGGAATTAACTCTCAAATGATCACATGATTCAGATGAATGAATGGAAGAAGTTAGCTCTCCTGGACAGATATCACTTGTACATGATTATGGAAAATTAAGGTACAGTATATACAGTATTTCACATAAATTGAGTTTTCTTTCTTTCCAAGATAAACGAATTCTTAACCTATAACATAAATATTGCATGTTCATGCTGTTTATGAGAACTTTTAACACTACGAATCTATTGAATTGCACTTGAATGGCCAGTAGTTTGACATTGGCTTTACAAAGTTTATTTAGCCCTCATGCAACAAAATCAATGTAAATAATGCTTGGTAATATAAATGATTAACATTCAACAGGGAAACACTCAAAGTACATTAAATTCATAAATGAAGGTAACATTGTAGTGCCGCGATTCGTTAATCGTTTAGTTCGATAACCGTTATAATTCTAATCTTAACGGCGCGTAAAATCAAAAGACAAAGGATAGCAGCAACTACAGTTTATTGCCGAATAACTCAGGTTCGAATGTTAACAACACCTGAGCGAATATGAACGAGCGAGTGAGCGGCAAGCGAGAGAGTGAGGCGAAAGATGATGCATATTGGAGATGGCTGGGAAGCCAACTCGATTTAAGCAAGCGTTAATCAACATTTATAGTCGGACAAAAATGAGTGACAGACATATGATGAATAAGATACGAAGTGTACACATATATGCTCATATAAAAGTATAGTCAAGGTTAATAAGCAAATGATTAACAAGTTCAAAATATGACTCATAATGGATAGGCGAATTGGCTTGGCTAGGAACTAGAATAAAGTATATGGGCTTAACATATAAACTGATACTACAACATTAATGAGTTGACTGATGACCAAGGCATAAACCTTACATAATCCAATATGTGAATATACATCGACTACAAAAGTATATAATCGAGTTTTTCACATTCATTACTCAACAAGTATATCCATACAGCAGAAGGAATATTATCATTAACCGGGTACAAATTTATCAGCTTGGCTTTCAGATACACTTCAAATGACGGCTATTGATGCTCCCTGGTTAACAAAACCGAAGTATTCATGGTGGAGTTCAAACGTGCGACTTAATGGCTAAACGTCCAGCACCTGAAACCAGAGTCACTGCTCCGTCTACACAATCTACACGATATCCGTAATAATAATGCAAGTGTCACCTTGAACAAGTGTGTGTAGCCATGAGGTGATCAATTGAGTGCTGTCCTATGTACCCAGAGTGGTTTTCACTTTCCGGTTGCTGAAACTAATTTTGACGACCTGGGAGCACAAACCAAGTACCCAAATGACAAGTGTTTCAGGCCGATCACACAAGGCCTATTTGAGGGCAGTTCTTAATATGTTAGCTCCATGCAGAATTTACTACTGATGACAGAAACCCGTAGGACAAACTGAGGTGTATTATTTTCAGAGCCTACACTTTCTAATCCATTTAGTCCGTTATGAGAGGGCAACATCGCTGCAAACGCCAGTTGTCTGACGGAATAACCAACTTACTGCCTTCACATTTCAGTACACTTGGTACAACGATATCGCATTCGGACATTAAGTTCTTGCTGTTAACTATACTAAATTCTCCAAGCGAACTGTCTGGCTTGGTGGTGCCTAAATGGATTATTTTCCCAGCTAACATAGCACCCATTGTGTCATCACAATGTCACACCTAATCACAACGTAATAGGTTTCAACCCCACACTCACCTACTTTAGTTTGGGTAGTCGAGCACTATACCGCTAGTCCTAGAAATAATAAACACAATCTTGACCAAACTGAAGAATAAAGATATCAAATTTATGAACTAACCATTTCTACCTCTTCGTGCCAAACTTCTGCATTTGGAACACGCTCAAATTTTAAACCAAGTAATTGTTGATACAATCGCAATATACCCGATTTTACAGTAGCCAATGGAAAATATTTCTTCAAAGCCACTTCGTCGACGGAATAATCTCGTTCTTTAACCATATTCATGTAATATCGTGTATCCCATGGATTTAAGCAATTATTAAACGTGTATCCTAAACGATCACACTGGAAGAGGGAAATAAACTTAGTAAGTACATTAAATGAAATTTGGAAAGAAGAATACAACTGAGGATGATTTTCGTTATGGTTCGAAAATATCACATGTGGAGAACCGGTTAGAAATCAGGGGGTACTGACATTAATTGTTTTGACCTAGTTTAGAACTCCTCAGTGATTCGAACCCACAAATTCATAAGTAAACGGACCCATGATAATCGGATTTATGTAGCGAGCGTGTCACCTTAGTTATATTCATGTACACATTATATTATTTACAAAAATATCAGATAGTCAGTAACCATCAACACGAATAATATGAATCACCGTAAGCTGGAAACCAGCAAGCATTGGATAGCTATTTATAACCTAGCATGGGACTACTACTCAATGGCTGTAAGCATCCAAGCACCTATTATGGATTGACAATCTACACAACACACTATAACAACAATCATCATACGATTACTTGTAACCGACCTATTCTCGAAGTTCTAGTGAGAAGCTGTGACCAGTAAAGTTTAATCATATTAAGCATGAGACAAGTACAACGAGTGACAATGGATAATAGTAGCCAAGTAGCATGAAAGGACTGAAGTTGGATGGTCTCAATAGTAATTGATTGTGCGGAAACAAGTTATTTGAATAAACTTTCGTCGAATATTACTTAGCCTCTAACTCCTCTCATTCGATGTTGTGGGATGGTTTAGTCAATCACTGTCAATAGATTATATCTCCTGATTTCAAGCACATCATTTCTAAGTGTTATTATTACTGAACATACTAGGTCAAGTGTAAGTGTTCATTTCGATAGGTGATGGTTTAAAAACCCCAAGGAATTTATCACGTAAGTTGGTCATGGTGTGCTCTTTAAAGTCAACTTCTTTATACAACAGAATCGACCATCGATCTTATCCAGTGAATTGAAATGATATTGGAATAATGAGCCGATCAATGATGGTCTAGAATCGACCGGTCCATGATTTCAATGAAATTCAACGATCTCTACCATTCAGTACTGGAAATTGGAAACATTTGTAAAGTAGAGGGATGTACAGATCTTAAATTGAATAAGTTTGGGCAATTGTTCAAAAGTGACGAGGATAAAAATCTACACATACAAAACCAGACAAAAGCATGGGACAAACTCACAGACTTGTCTTCAGAAAACCAAATAACTGATCCACTACAAAAGATGACTTGATAAAACATCCAGATTGGGGCTACGAACATCAAGTTCTTCGAAACACTGTACTCGGACAACGGGCGAAATCCCCACGGAGAGTAATAAGGAAGAAGACGATAATAGTTAAGAGGAATAATTTGGTTGGTAGTTCACAGAGGTGAACAAGTATGGGACTGGTAAGTTAATGGTTCTTTACGGAATGTGAAGAGCTGTCTCAAGTAAGTACTGGCTTGCCGAGAAATGGTGTGGACGCTTGACCAGGTGTCCTTATTTTACTATAGATATTAGTGTCCCTAGTAAGAAAGCCTACTAATCAATGCATTTTGTGAGATTATTCAACTCTACAATATAGATTTGTTTCCTAGAACACTGGCTTAACCTTCCCAAATTTGTTTACTGAGATCTGGACATGTTAGGATCGTATCTATCCTGCTTTAAGATAATTTCACAGCTAAGTCGTGTTCAACACACGTTTGAATAATTACAAAAAATAATTGACCAATGTAGAGAGCGAAGAACATCTTACCTCTTCTTTTTTCAATTCCAGTAAACGTGTCGACTCTTTCAGTCGAATTTTTTCGAGTTTATTTCCAAGATTATTTAAAAATTCGCTAATATTCTCAGACGTTTTAGTCTTGTATAAATCAAGTATAAAGTCTGCATGTGTAGGAAAACCAAGAAGTGTTGCACGCTAAAACACAAGGATATAAAATGAGGGAGTGACAATCACAAGAATTCAGAAATAAAAGAAACATTTACAATTCTTTTCATAAAACTGAGAACTAATCACAAATTTAGACAATACAAAAATGTTAGTTTGAATCTTCCCATCGATTTGTTAGGACTACAACTGGTCAGTCTCTAATTGGCATATGTGCATAATGTGCGCATTGTCTCAATATAGCCTTAATTCACAAGCATGGTAAGCGAAAATAGACAGTGGCTATCAGTGGAATCCAGGACGCACGTTTCGTCCTATTTGGGACTCGTCAGCTGGATGCACCTGCATCTCAGAGTTGATGTCCACTCTGCTACTCGAACTCAGTACCTTTCGCTTCAAACGCCATCGCGTTATCCACTCAGCCACTGAGTCTTGATAGCCACTTGCTTGTGCAATGGGGTGAAGTTTAAATTCACTTAGTATAGTTTGTGTGAATCTGACTGCAAAGGTGATGATGTCTCAAACATAATCAATGGGAGGCTTAAAATTGCATTAGCCAGAACTTTTCCGGCAGCCAAACTACTAAGTCCTTATAAAACATGTTCAATAACCCAATCAAAGATCGACAAGCACTCCTTTCATGTTACTGTCAGTTGTGTTTGTAAATTTACGTGTACCTGCCAAAGCAACTACACTGGCCGAATAGAAGGGAGGGCATATCTTAGATCTTTTGAGCATGTTCCAAAAAGCCTTAGAACAGGAAATAGAATGACTTAAGATTGTGCAATTACCAAACATCTCTTGGATGCATGACTTCAAGTCGCTACATCGCAATCTATCAAGATGATTAAAAAATGGCGAAACTTCAGTCTTCTGGTGACAAATATTCCTTCGTTGCATCTTAAAACATTTTTGAAACTCTTTCTGGCATTTATTACATCATTGAGGCTTTTTTCATACCGACTGTCTTGCAGATTAGTAATCTTATTTTCGTAACTGAGCTTTACTCATTTTATTCTGATCAGCGACTACTCATTATGTAATCGCTTGTTTCCGGACCTTTGAACTCTTGTCACAAATAATGTTGTAAATTGTTCTTTTACATAAGATATATATTTACAATATTCAGTTTATTGAATTTATTTGCACCCTTGCTATACTATGCTAATGTGTCTTCAACATAACTTCCAACTAAACTCTTTCATTTAAGTAATTCAAACCCATTTCGTAATTATGTTTTAAATATCATAGGTTGTAAGTAGCTGATGAGAACCAGACCAAATAAAGTGATTTATGCTGTTCTGCTAGAATCTTTGTTCTTCTTTTCTTCGAAATGATAAAGGGAACTGTGTGCATGAGATTTATAATTTTTCTTATTAAATCACTTTCCTATTTCCCCTTAATTGAAGGAACATAAATCGATTCGGTTTAGAGATGCAAACCTTTGGATATAACCTCAGTAGTTTAGGGGTCAAGCGCTCATTGTGATATCTGAAAATCTTGAAGCGACGGAATGTTACTGCCACTGAAGTGTTCCATACTAGTACGATACACCTGCGCATTGACTCCTAACTTTCAATGGTTGTCTGAGATCAGTTCGTGATGTCAGCCACAGTCAATTATACGTATAGCAGAACCTGACACATACGTACATGGATTCAAGCTGAATAATCACTATATTCCCGGTCCCATGACTAGGAAACATCAGAGTTTTAATGTCCTATTATAGTTTCTTAAATGTTGACTAATTAACCTAATAGTCGACGTAGGGTTATTCAGCGTTAGGTTGGGTATTTTTGTTGCGTCGTGATGGTAGATTGGGAAGATATTCCAAATCGATGGTAGGTTTGATGGTTGTTATAAATCAACTTTTTAAATACTGACTTTCAGGTTTGAATATTGCTTCGATAAAATTTTGACATGACATTTAAATTAATATTGTCAGTGATGTTAGCCTAGTTGAAAAAGGTAGGGACTAAAAAAGGTCATTGGCAGTAGCTATGTTCTGGCTAAGGATGTTCGGAAACTCTTCATGTTTGAATACCATAGAATTGAGAAGGATTGTAAACAGCAACTTCATAAAGCTGAGATTCCATGATGAGTGTTCAGGTGGGGTAACCAAAATTCGCTTAGTGACATCAACTTTAAAGGCCAACTTTGGTGGGATAGGACATGTTTTCTGATAGTTCCAGCTGATTCTATGTCGTCTACTAATTTCTAAAGCTGGAATAAGGTAGTAAAGGCAGAGAGGTATTCAATTTATGACATGGCCGCGTGCTATTTAAGAGAGCTGTATAAAAGTGGCAGCAACCCTTTATGGTACTATAACTTTATTCTGTATGGTGCATTCTGCTTTTTGTTCCCAATGGTACTATAAGAAATGACAATTAATTAAATAAAATATTATTGCTAAGGCTTTGAAAAAGAATGTGCCAATAAACAGGGTACACATGAACTTGCACAGAATAGATGAATTATATTGAATTAAACGTTTGTAGAATAAATAGATAAAAGCAAATCTGTGAACAGTATGTTTGCATTTTTCGCAGGTTACCATGGATTAATCAACAAGATAAAGGGACCATATCACAATACGGTTTGGCTTGCAGTCTAACGTGTAAATGTGAATGTCATTGCCACATTATGTTGCAGTAATGCCAGCACTTATAATAATAGTAAAAGATGGATAACATCCACTCTCAAATTATTCATGTACATTGAAATTACTTGATTGCAGACACAAATAAGATCGCTTACTTCTCTCCGAAGTTCCATTAAACGTTTCAGTATGGGTGTATTTTCTTTAATACACCTAAAAACATAAATTATAAGTTGAAAATAAATTCACAGTCCAAGTGAATTTATAAGAAAATACCTAATACTAATTTATTATTTAGGCTCATACTGAAAGCCTAAATACTAGACACTTATAAAATATTCTTCAATTAACAAATATCTACTGATTAATGGAAGCTGTTTTTATCGACTTCGAGAGTTCACAAATCTTTAAAAGCAAAGAATATTGGAGTGGAAAAACATTCTCAATAACTTCTGGAATAGGGATAATCGAACATATAAATATCCCTATCCTTTCTCACATGGTAGATAATGAAAACGGTATTAAGATAGAAGTAGTCTTCAAGGTTTTATATTAAGTCTTAGGCAGTTCACTGGAAAGAGGTAAGACTACGTTCTTTCCAAAAGCAGGAACGGAACTGATGAATTCAAAGAAGTTACATACAGGTACTTTGTTTAGCTAAGCTCACAATTGAGTGACCACATTCTTAATATTCATACTATAAACTCTAAACATCAACATCGCCTTTATGCTGATCCCTTGTCCTGTCGCTTTCATATGGAATGTTTTTAATTTCACATTTATATTTCTAATCCATATGACTTGCCAACTAAAAATATCACTATTATTGTTATCTGATTAGAGGTGGTCGACAGGAAACTCTAGACCTATATTTCGTGCTAGTTGTGACTCATCAGAGAGGCATACACCTGTAATCTTCAAGGGGCTGACATTGGTCACTGCTGTGTGCAAGTAACTGTAAGTTGTTACAATTACTCTAACTCAACAATTCTCCATTATATTCACACGATTTCACCATAACCACTGTAATTCACTCCTATGAGTGATATCTATTACTCGTTCGTACATGATCCTTCAACGGTAATGGCATATTCTGTACATACTTAAACTGCAACTGATTTAAACGTCCGTCACTATCAACAAAGAACATTAACTAATTCAGTCATAACCTATGTATGTATGTCCTACTTCAACCATTAAAATACAATATTTAAGAATTTACAACTATGTATCATTAATGATGAAGTTAAGGAGAACAACTTTTTTCTCGAATTTTCATCCGACAGTCTGAAATCAACAAGGTACTTGATTTGACTTGGGCCATATTGTTTGTTGTATGAAGATTAGTGACACTACCATGTAGCTTAAACCAAATTAGTTAGAATAGGGTTCTGACCTCCAACCTACAGGTTGGAAAGTAAGTACATGTAACAAAAAACCACCTATTTCAAATACAATCTAGACGGTGATGGAGCGCATCTATGCAAATCCCATTGCATTGTATTTATCAATGATGATGACCAGTACTTTTGATAAAGCTCTAAGAAAACCAATAGCCAAACGTTCAATTTACCTCGAATTAAAAGCTGTTTCTAATGTTCTCCTTGTTTCTGGATTAGATGCTTTTTGCATGATCGGGAAGTAGTGTGGATATTTGAGAGATACTTCACGTTTGCCAGAAGGGAGCTATTTTTAATTCATACATGCATTAAAAAAGAAATAATACACCACAACATATTAGACAGCATACAACTAATTTGTACAGGAAAATTTGTAATTAATATAATTATTATGAAAACATTGAGATGTGATTCTCATTTTGTGGTCAACCCGTTCAAATAGTTTAATGACCAATTTCTTTCAATAATTAACCTGAGCCACTTTGTTGTTGACCATCTGTATTACACATTCCACTAACTTTTACTTTCAGTGACACAGCAACAATAGAGGCGTAACAATCTTCACTGATAACATTAGGTTGCATGAAAGATAACTAGATGTCACAACCTATCAATGAACAATAATCTCGCTTTCAATGTATCTATTAAATAAAATGAAATTAGATGCCCATGTAATGAAATCAATTACTTTCAACAATATAAACTATTAATGAGATTAGACGTGAGAAGCATTTGAGAAACGCGTTGGACATAGAGAAATCAGCTTGGTCTCAAATCGATCTATCTTAATACTTCAGCACTATTGAAGTCAAGTATTAAGAAGATAAGCTTTTATTGAAAGAAGAAAGCTCCGTTTCCTCTATTTTAACATTCATATACTTAGTCATGAATTTTTGAGGATAAATAAATGACGAGTAAACAATATTCAACTACGGTTGATTCTCTGTTAACTAAATCTTCGGAAAAACGATCTTCTGATATGATGGAAAAGGATTTTCGCTATAGTTCCTTTATAACCATAGTGCACAGAAGTACTAAAGTTCAAAGAATAAATATCTCCATTACGTTGCGCCTAAACAATCAATTGTATGAACAATATTTTTTAAATTCGCAATACTTATTGCTCTTTTTATCAATATTCACTGATCAGAACTTATCTGAAGTTATAATACAAATCATGTACATTATATTTTTAGTTGTTGGTATTATCATGGTTAGGTTGCATGCAATCTGCAAACTAAATTAATCTACCTTATTTTGATACATACGTTGTTCTTGTTTTAAGGAACATTTAGAATTTATTCCACTCAGGTACCTAGAACTTTGAAGAATTTGGTTGGAACTGGGTCACGCAAAACACTGTGCTATATGCCTTACTACTGCAATAGATTGCGAATATCCCCTACAAGGCCCACATGCCTGTCGAAACTAATGACAATATGGTTCAAAACTAGTTTTGCTTATATTTTATCTCAACCACCAGTCAGCTCTCACTACAGCGTACCATTTAATTTCTTTGCGATCTTCGTATTATTGTTTCATTTTGAGGTAGTGTAACATCAACATATACAAACCGATATCAGATTTGACTATTTCAACTTGACTATCCGTCAGTTAAGACTACCAGTGTAACTCAATAAATAAGTGTTCTATCGTTTACTAACTCCAACTACGTCTAACAAATTAGAGAGGGTTGCATAATGTCAGAGTAATGATCAAGCTGAAACAAATTATACATTATCTCTAACAAACAACCGTGTTATCGATGAGAATGCTGATAATATCTACACTGAAAAAGTCAAGAATGTACAACTACAGAATAACATAACACGAAAGAAACTGAATCACCTTTTTCAAACCATCAATGAAATCAGCAGGACATCCAGCTACAAAAAAAAACAAATTAACACAATATCAATTTCCATAAGGAAAGCAATACATGATAATAAATTTACTTAGAACGTTTCACTAGCTACTCCAAAAACCGTTTATCGCAAGAAAATGCCATACTTTCTACAACTATTAAAACTCAAATACATTGTATTATTGATTTCCAAACAAATACCCATTAAACAGAAAAATCAATTAAAAATTGTGTGACTGGTGAGGCAACAACTTGACGGTTTACTACACTGATGCTCGACGATGGATTTGTGACCAAACTAAAGGTATATTAGGAGGTTGCATTAACATAAGGTATATGACAACCAGTTTTATCGCCACAAGATGAGTTGCTCAAGAGATCTATCACTTTTGATTATCTCATCAAATAGAAAAAGAACTCTTCAGTTTCAATGCGTAGTATTCATGACCAATGAAATAAAACTATCAGAAACACGAAAAACTCATCAGAGAGCCTGCAATTATGGTAAATGGACATGTTTATACAACCAACTACCGTTTTAGCCCTGAAACACTACAAACAATTAACACACAAAACATAAAACCTCCATAACTCATCACATATCATATACATTCTATTCAGATAATCTAAAACTTAATCATTTTTGTTGTTAACATACTCAATTCCTCATCTGTAAACTCTAACAATGTGTTCTCTTCATTTAGAGCACGTTGGAAATCAATACATAGTTGATTTTCTTCCTTATTCAAGGCTTCTATCAGTTTTCTTTTATCGTCATCCAGGTGAAGACCTATTGTTTACAAATACAGTTATTCATTAATATCATACAGGAACAAGCAACAAACCATTTCTCCGACCGAGCTGAACTTTTCTATCTACATAACGACGATATTCACCGGAGAATGATGAATCTATATTCTTTTGGACAGAAACAAACTTTTCAAATACATCCTTCCGCATTCTGAGCAATGAAAATTTAGGAAAATAATAATAAAACATGACGAGTGGTATTTTTTTTCAAGTAAATAATCAGACATATAGTACATAGCGGCGAAATCAATAATAGCATCAGTGATCATGTGAAGCTAAAATAAACTCTAGGAATCCGATAATAAGTGGTGTATTCTGAGAACTACGGCTTCATAAAAAACGTATGCCCAACTATGATCGACTATGATAACGGTTATATGGCGTTCAAAAGTAGATTAAGTAACAATCAGTTTGAACTAACGCTCTCTTGACTACTCATGCCGATGACAACTAACATGGTTGGCTTTTGTTTTTTTTAATATCTGTCAGAGTACACCCTATTTAACTTACAGCCATTTAGATCAAGGTACAAAACCAGTAGATGAGTTGTCAAAAACCAGTTTGAACCTCGTTAGAAGGCATACACTTCTTGGTTTATGGTTGTGAAAAAAATGGACCCAAGCAACCATTAAAGGGGAAATAAAGGCGAACGATGTGGGAAATTAAAGGGATATTCTGTTTGAAAATAAAGGGGTAATGATAGGGAGATGCATCAGAGTGTTTGATTTTTCGTATATCATGGGGAAATAATGAGGAATTTTCCCTTTTTGTAAATTCATATTTCAAATGTCTCTGAGTTGTATACTTTTCGCCTAAACAGACGCCAAACTTATCTAACCATTCTAACGGCTGAGTAAAGGCAACTGAAGCTTTTCATGCCAGCCACAAATAATGTGCTATGTAGGTTGAGTCGATACCTGTGTTATTAGCAGCAAAGATGTTAGCAGAGGGTCGATCGAAGTGTAAGTTAACTTACTCTAATTCAACTTCCATATCAGAAAGTCTACGAGTGGCATCACAGCTGGCGTCTCTTATAGCTTTATAAGGAGATATATGTTGAAGGAAGTCGATGGCGTTTTTTTTCGTTTGGTATTCAGCTTCAAACAGTGACATAGGCTGGGAAAATGTCAGTATAACCAAGATTAATGTTTACTAGGACAACTGACTCAAAAGTAGCAGGTCCGGATGATCCCACTCTGTCATACACTGAAATGGCATTACTGATTAGGGTTGATGTTCTCTCAACAATATCATTCACAGAACCAGACCACTTAAGGAGACAACCAGGAGCAACAAACATACTCAAATTTGTGTCGACCTACAAAAGCAAGATCAGTGACTCGTTCAAACTGCATGAAGATCCAGATTCAGGTCAGTTCCAAATTAGTGTATTAAGGACTAAAGGCCTACAGCATTCGTTAGTCTTTTTGCAGTAAGCTTTCAAGATTATCTAGTCTCCTCTTGAATAAAACAACTGAAGAGATGAGTGCCACTTCCTAAGGTAACAGGTCCCGAGAATTGATGACTAGAAGTATAAACCTGTATTCTACGAGTATTTTTGCTTCCTACTAGCCTTTTTACTGGCCCGGTATGTTCCCTGAGTTTTCTTGATCTGTTAGTAAAAGTAAGAGAAGGTGTATTATGTTCAAAATCATTTTTTAAGAATCTATACATCAAAATCTGATTACTTCCTAATCTGCGTTAGGACATAGTAAATCGCAGTGGTGTGAAATAGCTCAAGCAGCTGTTCTCCGTCTTTTTTTCAAGATTACGGGCTTGAAGCCTGAACGAAGTTTTCAAGTTTGCATTTCACTAAGGTTATATATACTGTAGTATCTAACTTGGCGAGTGTGTGTCTTAAAGTCAAAAGGGTTCCACATCCCTTAACTCAGGCCTCGTGAAGGTGAGCCGTGGCCATAAGAGCATGGCTTACTGTCACTTCAAGATCCTTGTGAATTCGAACCGCCGACATTGACCCTTTCCTATGCTGTGCCATTTTACCTTTTTATCCCCAATATCCATGTAAAACATACGGTCGCTTTGACAGGTATCAGCCATCTTTGAGACCAGCTAATCAGAACATCGAAGTCCGTTTGAAGTGTGCAAGCGTTTGCTTCGCCTGTTTTTACTTGTCAGCCTTGTGGTACTCCACTATGTGCTGGGTTCCACAAGTAGCACTTGGAATTTATTCTTGCTTTCTGTCTATGGCCTACCGAGAAATCCTCGGTCCACTTCAGAAGAAGTCCGCCAGTTCACAGGTATGACAGCCTCAACAATAGTCTATTTTCGGCACCTTACCAAATTCTTTGCTGAATTATATGTAGACGAAACCCACCGATGTTTCATTACCTGGAGCCTTCGTCCATCTGTATCTTGTCATAAAGAGAATTGTTGCGCAAGATAATGTCTTCCCGAACCCATTTTGTTAGTTATATAGCAGGGGTTCGGTTTCCATGGATGCCATTATTGTCTTTTTGGTTATTCTTACCCGTATTTCCACTACAATACTGATGAAACCAACAGGTCTGTAAAGATAGGTGAAGGCTGACAATGGAATACAGGGTGCGCATTTCGTTCTATTGGGGACTTCTCAGATGGATGTACCTGCATCCTATGTTTGCTTATAATGCTTGTGACTTAAGACGATATGGGGGCAATCCGTACGGGATGCATATACGCCAATAAGTAACTGATTAATTACAGTCCTACACATCAATAGGAAGATTAAAACAAATAATACAAAAAATTAATTTGACGGATCTGTAGTTTCACAGAAGTTGCCTTAATCTTGTTTTGTATATTGGAGTGGCAATTGCATCCTTCCAGTCCATAGGTAACATACTGTGCGATTTTTCTCAAGATTTTAAGTTGCATTTCATCTGGTCATGTTGATGTTTCTGTGTTCAAAGTACTAAGGATTTTACGTACGTCTTCTTGATCGAAGTATACAGTGAGCAGTCTATTTTGTGACATAGTATTTGAGTTTTGCTCTTCGTAAAGAAGGAGCCACTTAGTATGAACTCTGTAAAAAGAATTTACCATGGTCCTTGCTTTTTTCTTGTCTTCCTCTGTCATTTGAGATCCACTCGCTTCTGTAATTAGGCTGGAAATCCATTGATGCCTTCCAGTCGTTTAATTCATATGTGATAACAGTCCCTTCGGCCTATTGATTACAGATTGTGCTAAATATATTCGCTGAGCCGCTCAATAAATAATGTTTTTGTGTTGGTCATTGGTGGTTTCGTTGGGGGTGGTCTATTCTTTTGACTGGATTTGTTTCAGTTACTTTGGTATTTACTTGTAGGTTTCCTTCATTTCAAGTGAGCCTTAGGGAAGGGAGCAATAATCAAAATGCAGCATAGATTTAAATCATCTAATTGGTTTCATTGAGAGAGCACATTTATATTAGAAGTTGTATCAGATGTCTATAAATGTCCATTGATCCGTTTTTACGATTGAAACCCAAAATGTTGCAATTGCTAAAATCGGTCAGATGTCCAGTATCTTTGTAATTAACCGGTATAAACAATTTCTATCGTTTGCACTCGTGTCTTGATGTTAGGGGACATTTATAGGTCTTCTGCAGACTCCAGGCCATTGAAAAGTTCTGTTGTATCTTGACGGTTATTTGAAGGTTTGGTACATTCTGACGTCATATATGTTCACTGATTCAAGAGCAGTAAAGTTTGTGAAACCAAGAATATCGCCGCACTTGACAGTCTCTCGCTCAAATTTGTTGAAGTGTACAACTCTGGAATTAAAGGAAAGAAGGGCAGTGGAAATAAGATATGGTGAGAATATGATAAATGAATGCAATGGAGCCTTGGTTAATGAATTTTTGCATCCAGTCACAATTCAACGTGTAATATGAGCGTACATATGCGTAGCAAGAGATCTATATAAATGGATGTGGCCACATTCGACTCTAAATGATTACATGACAGTAGGAACTTATGGAGCACCGAAGTGTTCTCAATCTCGTTTTCTGTATTGTTTCTGTACTCATTTTTTCTGAATGAAGAAAATTAGATAGAAAACCACATGGTGGCAAAACACAGAGCTATGACTACTAACGTAATATTGATAGACTTAACATGGAGTCCTCAAGGTGTTTTACAAGGATTTATGTGTAATGATTACGGAAACTATTCTGTTACGAAGAAAGAAAGATAATAAAACACGCATTATTGTCTGTCTGAGAGGCTAAAGTAAGAAGGTTGGTGTGAGTGAACGAATTATAAATGAAAGCCCATGAAAAGCAGAGTATTGCACGGCACAATCTCGTGTTCATCACAAATTTCATTGTGTTGGCGGATTGCGATTATAGAATAGCCTCAATTTTGTCTCATGCTGTTCTCATCGCACTGTAAAAACTTAGGTCGATTAGTTATGAGTTGACCTCAAACATCTAAATATATATCGGGGCAATAGAGCTCATGTACTCATTTCTGAGTGATTATACATCCCATTAACTTATACGGAAAGTTGAAAAACTTTGTGTGTTTGAAGAAGTCACCTTGCGTTTCACTGTGAGCATCTATCAGCCATTGAGACATCAGTATGTGGCCTGTTCAAGCACTCACTAATTCTAAACAGTATGGAATCCGGTCCCTTCTCTTCCCCATGTACATATATACTCGAGTCCTTCTAACAGCCATTGCCTTACTGTGCCTTATTCGAGTTGACTAAAAATTCACCTCTGTATTTGCTCACTCGCATACACATCTTAGCCTATACTCCAGACTCATTGAACATGCTTGTAGCTTTGTGATCCGTGCTATCCGTTAATAAACTGTATTTGCCGCTTCTTATGAATTTCTCATTTCAAATACGGTGCGATTTATATAATAACGGTTATCAAGGGAAATAATTAACGAAGCTAAGCCACTACAAACTTATATGGAAGTAAATTAAGCCTCACTGTACCATAAAATAGGTAATAACAATCATACAAGATCAAGATGAAAAGTGACTGTGGGTGTGAAAGGCTGTAACTAATAAATTAGGAATAAAGTAGGAATAGTATGACGTATAAAAATAGTCAATGGGCCAGACAGAAATTTATGGTGGAAGGAAAGAAATTATAAAAATCCAGTTATTTGAAAATTGTATGAAAGAACACGTATACTATAAAAATCCATAATTATATCCTAAAAGTTTCCATTCATGTTCGGCCCCGGAACATGACGAAGATTTACATTCCACATATAACACCAAGAAGTCAACACTGGTGAACGCGAAAACAAGGGGTCGATATGACATGTCTCATTCGTGCGGGCATGGTCGCTCCATGTATAACCTTTTGCCTTTTGTAATGAGTATATTACTCTCTAAGCAGTCGAAATGTGTTTTTCAGAAGCTCAAGACGTCATATTGCTAATTTTCACCATAGGACGAGTCAGTTTAGAAAATGGCGTCAAAATGTCATGTCATGAACAGTTTCTTTCTACTGACTAAAAACATTCTACATCGTCTACCAAGAGCTGGATTCAGGGTTTGGAATCACAGAAAGCTTAGATGCCATCTGGAAATTCATGTGAGAGCCTGACAAGACAAACGCGATTCTACGCTTTGCATGAAGACAACTTAGTACAATCACCCCAGAGTTCTTCCTAACACCATTAAAAACATACAAACGACTTTACCTTGACGTCCACAGTGTCTTTGTGCTCCCTCAACTCCAAAAACGGATATAGATTTTATAACGACAGATTTCAACATCTCAGATTATTTTCATTGAGTTATAGGAGAATGAGAGGTGATCTTGTAGTGCAATGCTTCGCTAATCTTTCACATCGATAACCGTTATAATATAAATCTTAACGGAGCATGAAATCAGAAGGCAAAGAGAAGCTGCAACTACAGTTTATTATCAAATGGTGCAGGCCACAAAGCTACAAGCACATCAGTAAGTATCAGCGAGCAATTACATAGGCAAATTTGTGGTCAAGTCGCAGCAAGACAAAGAAAAAGCTAATAATAGGATTTGAGTGAATACATATATAGGAAGAAGGATGAGTGATCGAATGATATTTAAGCTATCAACGTTTTGGCTAGTCTGTCATGAGTTCTAATGATCATAACAGTACAAAGATATATGCGAATTGTTACTACCCAGACGACAATGTCTGTTGCGTAAGTCGATAAAAGGGCTTAAGCAAAATTAACAACAATCGAAATTGGTTATATGATAGTTTCTATAATCTTGTAATGGCATACAATATATAAAGTACACCAGGCCACCACAACACAAGCATACTCTCAAAACATCTTCATCACGCTCCTAAAGGCGATTCTCTG